ATTTTATTTTTAACCTTTTTTTTTTCTTTTAAGTGTATATACATGATATTGAGAATTGGGATTGTGGTGATGAATGAGGCCAAGTGCTTCTAAACATATCGCAATAAATTAAAAAATAAAAATATTTAAAAGAAAATTATTTTAAAATATTTCGAAATTTTTAATGAATATTTTTTGTAATTAATAATTGATAAATACATCAACAGTTTTTCTATATATATTATAAATTGATGTCTTAAAAAAATTTTTAAAAAAATTCTAAATCGACCGTTGTATTTACATGCATGTACTAATAATCTTTTCTAGACGAAATGAAACAATTACTAAAGTTGGGCATTGCCGAAGAGTTTTGAATTTAGATCTCTGTACTGATGGTGAAGAAAGAGAGATACAGCTTTCATATATATATATATATATATATATATATATGTATGTATGCATGTATGTATGTATGTGTTCCATTCCAAGTGGGTGTTTGATAAGAAGAGAATCCAAATAGAGAAAAAGGAGACATTGACATTTTGCACTTTCATGGGTTGTAATTGAAGATAGACTCGACATTATTCCTTTTGGCCACTCAGAATATTCCAAAATGGAAAACTTGCCCCCGATGAATAATGTTTGAAACAAAGCAATGAAAAAAAAGTTACTTGCAGTGTAGATATTTGATGCGGATCTAAGACCTTGCTGCATTCTTAAGCTTGGACTAGTACTGGACTGGACTAAAATTATAGTAAGTGGCTAATGGTTTTTAAGAGAGAGATTCACAAATCATAGATGTTGAGTCTCCAGTGTTGCAGCCCCAAAAATGTAGGCTCTATGCACAGGGTAAGCAAATTTTTGTCTTTTTTTTTCCCCGATGAATGAATTTGTTTTGTTATGGATTGAGGTTTTTCCTTTTTAAGTGTACGACTTTTTTATTTTTGATACATAAAATGGGCATACCCAATAGAAGAAGAGAGAAAGGGTCTTGATTTGAAATTAATATTTTTGTATCTTCCTAAGAGCTCCTTAATCATTAAGCTAAGTAGACTAAGGAACTGAGGACGACATTATCTGCTAAATTGATGTACGGAAGACTAGAAATAATTGGAAATTAAGTAAAAAGATGAAATTAAAGCTTCAACATTTTGGTCAAAGTGTAATCTCTCTTCCCGTTCTGTGCTCTACTACTCTTGTATGATTATGGCAATTGGAGGCAGCCTCATTACGACACTCTTTATTTTTTTTGGTTCTCCTACTAGGTTTGTACTAAATCTTTCTTTGCTTGGGAGGTTCGCCACCCAAAAATGACTGAATTAGTCCTTTTAAGCATCATAGCGGAAGAGAGATCCATTCATTTTGTCCCATAAAACTATCCAACAAAGGGATGTTTGATGGAAGACAATGATTTCGGATTTTACACCGTTTTTTTGGAGTAGCAGTAAGTAAAACACCTTACCAGGTTTGGAATTAAACAAAGGCGTGACTCTTCGTTCTACCATAACAGATTAGTTTTTGGTTAGTTTATTACCATTACCATAATTGAGAGCCTGCACACAAGTTTGCAGTTGAAAGTAATCATTAATTGGCTTTTGTATTGTTAATTAAACTATTAAAGTAACAGTCTATTATATTCTAGTCAAATGTAATATTAATAATATCTAAAATTATGATATTATATTATCGTATGAAATATTTTTCTTAATTAGTGGGAGTCATCCTTTTATAAATAGAAGTTTTATGTACTCTTTCATGTGAATAAGGTTATTAATAATGTAGTCTTTTGGGTCATTCTCCTGTGATGTGGGCCACCGTAGTGAAACCGTATTTTTATGTTATTGTTCTTCTTGTGTATTCTCTTACTTGCATTCACACAAATATTATTATTTAAAATTTAATATGATATTATTTCGTAGGCCTCTTTATTTCTTTTTTGTTTAAAACCCTTCTTAGGGATTTCCTGTTTTGTTTTTGTCTAAAACGCTATTTCGAAACTTATTCTTATTTTATTTTTAGTCTTACACAAATAAAAATGCCAGCAGCTCCTGTTTCGTGTGCTTTTCGGCTTAATTTCTATCTAAAACCCTAGTTAGGAACTTGGTTTACTATCTTTGAATCTGTTATTTGCTACGTGTTTCATGATAGCATTTCTGAATCTGTTACTTGCCACATGTTTTGTCACGGTATTTCTGAATCTATCATTTGTCACGTGTTTTGGCATGACTTATCTAAATCTACTACTTGTTTGTCAAAGAAAATTTCTTGGGCGGTCGTTTTCAAGACTTAGTCAGCAAACTCAACTTGACATTTATAATTCCATCTTGAGTTTCAGGGGGTGTTAAGTAATATTCTATAATGATCTAGTCAAAAGTAAAATTATGATGTCATAACGATATTATTTTTTTAAATAGTGAGTCATTTATATATAAATAGGGATTTTATGTACTCTTTCAAATAAATAAAAATATTAACAATATAATCTTTTAGGACATTCTCTTACAATGTAGATTACCATGGCCGAATCACAATTTTTTTGTGTTTTTGTTCTTACCTCTCTTACATTCACACAAGCATTATTATTTAAAGTTTAACATAAATTTTTTACTAATTTATGTTTATATATATTTTTTTATAAAAGATGTCATAGTTTGAAATAATAAAAAAGATAACAGATATTGAAATTTAAATTCTAAAATTATTAAATATCATTTTTTAAAGATAATTAAATGAACAAAATGAATGAGTAAAGCTTGGTTTTAATGTTTATGCCAATTCATCGCTTCAACTTTTCCCTTTGTAATCGTCACGCACCATTATATTTTTAGGTAATTAATTTGACTACGGTCGTAATAATCTAATATATGACAACATCTCATGTAGCATGATAACGACTATCACGTGGTGTTAATTGTAAACTTTTTACCCCCAATGTCTGGATTTGTGTAAGGTCCTATAATTGTTCCTTGATTTGGTCTTTTAATCGAGTCTTGATTAGTGCTTGCCACTTGCAAGCTGGTCTGACTGGCTGAAGTAATATCCTAGGCTAAATGTTCTTACCACAGTTTTGTTTTTTAGAACGTGTAAGTTGCCCTTGAGGTGAAGGGAGAAACCCAAATATTGAAATTCTCCTAAGAGCTGACAGCTGATGGTATTGCTCATAAACTGTGGATTGAACAACTTGCCTGGCTACATAACCATACCCCAAGTCCATAGTGCCATTGTTCTTCAAAAAGTTGAAACTTAGTAAGTTAATATTTGATTCTTCTAATCCATAATAGTGTTAATCAATGGGTCAAATTATGCAATTAGTTTTTGTATTTATATAAAATTTTAATTTTAATCTCTATATAATAATTTGTAGAATTAGATCTTTATACTAATTTAATTTATTTATATTGATCTAATTGATAATAATATTACTTGATCTCTACTAAATTAACTGACATGACCATTGATCATGTTGATTTAGCATTAACTTATTGACATGATAATTGGAATTGATGAAATAAATTGTTAAATTATGTAAATGATCTCTGTACTTATACAAATTTTGAAATTTAATCTCTGTACTCACGAAGTTTAAAATTTAATCTCTATACTAGCATAAAATTTAAAATTTAATCCGTCTAATATAAAAAATATTTTATTTTTTATTTTTTAAAAAATATTAAATTTTAAAAATATTTTAGTTCCTTTAATATATTAGCTTTTATTATGTATATAATTAATTATTACTAATATCATATTAATAATAATTATTGTTATTAACATTTACATTAATCAATTATAATATTAATAATTTAAATTAATATATCAAAATTAATATTATTTTAATTAGTATAAATATATCATATAATAAAATTTATAATGAACCAAACTACTAAATAGAGTTGCATTTGTAATGAATCCAAAATAGATAATGAATGAAATGATCATTCTGTTCAACCAAACAAAATAATAAATTCGAACCCAAATTCTTACGAGATACAAGTTCTTATTCATTTGAAGGACAAATTTTGAATCTTAACAAAATGAAAAGAGAAAATAATTTATTTAATAAACTGAAACATCAATATAGTGTATCATAATGAGATTTTTTTAATTTTTTAATCTTCACAAAAAACTTTATTCAAATAATTATGTTAAATTAAATAATAAGATTAATTTTAAAACCAATGCACAATAAGTTTTGCAAATTACTTTAATACATTTGGAATCTTGAATCTATATTTGATTATAAAAAATCATTTAAATAAGTTTTAATTTAAAGAAATAAAAACATTACTTTATGGACAATTTAATCTTATGAGATCTAATTAAAATTCTAATTCATTAGATAAATTAATTAAAACTAGTAACTTTATTAAAATTAAATAGTGACAAATTTGTATAATATATTAACAAATTTATGATAGATTTTTATTAGATTGGTTTAAGTTTTTATTATATGACCACAATATAAAATGTAACCAAATTAGTAACATATTTTATATTTTATGATAGAATGTAATAAAAAATAATGACAGAACTAGTAATAATATTTCACATAGGTGACAAAATTATGATAGATTTAATGACAATATATGAAAATTGTGACTAAATATTGTGATAAATTTTTTAATAGTATAATAAAATATTATGAAATGATATTTTTACAATTTTTAAAATTTAATGTTTTAAAAAATTAAAAATTTTCTAAAAATTCAAAAAACCTTTTGTATTAGAAAAACTAAATTTTAAATTTCAAGTAATTATAAAGATTAAATTTTAAATTTCATACGACTATAAGAACTAAATTTCAAATTCTGTATGAATATAAGTACCAAATTTCAAATTTCAATTGAATATAAAAATCATTTGTATAATTTAACAATTAATTTCATTAATCCTAATTATCATGTCAATACCACATTATTAGAGTCAATGCCATATCAACATAATCAATGGCTACATCAACTAATTTAACGAAGATCAAACAATACTATTATCAATTGAATCAGTATTATTTAATTTAGTATGAAAGTCTAATTTCTACATATTATTATATAAGAATTAAAGTTCAAATTTCATATAAGCACAAGAGCTATTTGCATAGTTTAACCTAATCAATATGGGTCTCTTCAATCTGTTGAAACTATTTTTTTTTTTTTTTTGCGCACCATGATTCTGAGTTGAATTTTTTTTATATACAGCATTGAAACGACACATTGCAGCTCTAAACATAGCTTGGCTTGTTTTGTCCATCTAAGATTTCTGGAACATCGCAAACGACTTGCGCAAGATTTCTTGTTCCGCCCATATAAAATACGAGACTCAAAGGCAAATTCACTCAGCCTGCAATCTGTGCAGAGTTCAAAGACTCAAAAAAGTCGTGCTTTTCTGATGAAACAAAGAGTAATCCTTGTTTTCACATCTAGCTTTTGAGTTTTATGCTCTTATAACAAGGCATAAAACCAAGTATGGTTGCCGACTACAGAGTTTACCGTACAGAAATAAATATGAGCGTAGTTCCTCATAATTCATCTTGCAGTAGGCAAGGTTTTTAACCGTGCTCGGTTATACTTGAATGCTTTTACTTTCTGGTTCCAAGTTTGAACATGAAAGAAATTTATCTGTCTCACCAAAGCACAATATGGGGCAGAGAAGGCAGAACTGAGAACACAGATAAACAGGCAAAAGCAGCAAGCAAAAAGAGAACCAAAATAGCATGACGAGCAGAAACCGCAGAATAAATATACACAAAAATAAGGATTACTTATTATGAAGCAATGGTACTGAAAGAAGCCCTCAATTCAATACTATTTCAAAGAATCATCGCAAAAAATTAAAAAAAAAAAAAAATCCTGTTCTAGCATTTCAAAAAGCAGTTTTTTAACCATTGTTCAATGACCCTATTACTGTGGAAATGTGCAACTCCAAATACAACAATGTCAACTATCGTTACAGGTACTACCCCTAGATACAGAGAACACATCAAAAATGAAGGCGGCCATCTTTTAAAATGTGAGCTAAATACATGCTTTTTTGAACAGAATAACAAAATTTCTATATTTTAAATTTCAGTGGAGATTTGAGGTAGCAACTGACAAGCCAAAACAAGAATGATTACCAGTATTGATGAAACAAATGATGTTGAAATACTGCAAATCAACTGCCTCCCTTTTGTTTTAGAGTGATCTTAGCCCCAAGACTAAGGGCAATCCCCTGGGTCTTGCTCCTTATCCTGATGTACCCACTAAGCTTCCCATCTGCTTGTTTCTCAATGCTCACATTTACCAAGGCATCCTCCCCAAACACGCTTTTTGCATACAAGTTTGCTGCCAGGAATCCACATTCACCATCTAGTGCAGATCTGAAACACAAACCAGCCAGCAAAAGGGAAGGACAAGAATGAATTAATAACAATGCAGATGATTTATAAGTTCACATAAGAGATTTACAACCGTGTTTTACAGCAACGTCTAAGGAAAGGTTATTTTGAGTCACAAAACCATAAACAGATCTATTCTGAAAACCAACATAATGTTATGTTGTTATACTACATATCGAGCATGATAGCTTCATTAAGATGTTTCAAAACAAAGTGACATATATATGTATAGCATGCTGTAGTATTAACAATGTGCAACCTACAGTACGTTATGCAGAAACCAAAAACTGATCAGTTTATTTTTAAATCCCTCTCTCTGTCTCTCTGTCTCTCTCTCTCTATATATATATATATTTCTGAATAAGGTAAACTTACGGTGCAGTGAGACATTTCATGTTGGTTGACTTGATAACATGGTCAAGGAATTTCTTCTCATCTTTAATTACAGTGTTAACAGCAACCTGAATCACAAAAACAACAATGAAAATTAAAATTGAAACATCAAGGGGATAAGAATGGTTAGCTCAGTCCAAGGGGAAGCTTACAAATTAGGGAGTGAACTTTATTAGCAGTGACGGGAATAACAAAGAGGGTAATCAAATATTATGCAAATGGACGTGAGCAACTTATAAAATTGAGCTAACATATAATTGTATTCCAATTAGCATACTGAACATATTGTATTTGAAGCATACTAAGGCATCAATGTTGGGCTAACTAACTAAAGGAAACAGGGAGGCTGAGAATGCAAGTTGGAAAAAATAATAATGGAAATAGTGCAAGAGATACCTTGTTTTCCCACTCAAATTCTGCCCACATAGTTCTGAATGCAGCATCAGTACAAACGGCAGGAGAAATATAGTCCATGATATCAATATGAATGTCATTAAGAACAACAACAGTTCTTTCAAGCACATTTGAAGTCTCATAAACAATGTTTCCAAATATGACACCAGTCTCAGTTGAAGACACCTTGATGTTGGCCTTTATTTGCTTGCTAGACTCAGGACCTAGGTTATAGTTTTGTGGATGCTCCACGAGTTTCAGATCACCCATAGTTGCCAACTCTAAGCACAAATTCTGAAGAGTTTCCTTGGTTCGATTGATAACCATGACATCAAGAACAATATCATAGTGATGGACAGTGACATATGCTTCAGCATATACTGGGTCACTAAATCCAGTCAGTTGAAGAATGTGATTAAGCTTATTTGCATCATCTGCATCATTGACAAACTCTCCAGTTGCACGTTTCAAATCATCTTGAACCTCATCCTCCAATTCCAGCTGGCTCATTCCCTGGAAGTTAAAAACAGAAAATTTTAGATACATGTACATAAATTCATAACAAAATCCAAGAAAGAACCAAAATTATGAGTCAATAACCAAAAGATCTGCAAACCAAGAAGGTGAACCAGGGAGATAAAGCACATAATTCTATTAAAACAAAACGAAATGCATGTGCTTGAACAGAATATAAAAATGCTTACACAATAGATATGGGCACGATCATCTTGGCACAAACCAAAGATGTTAACTTGTGCACATAAAATAGTGACCATAAAAAAGTTCTCACCTTCCGACTCTTTAAATGGTAGAAGTCAATAAGGTCATCTGGTTGTGCATTAGAAACTTGAGCCTTTGCCTTTAATTCCTCAGTTTCTCGCAACTGTTTCTCTGAAAGCATTTTAACAAAACTCTGATGGCAAGACTGCAACCATATTTTCCTCATCTCATCACCAGTATTGCACAACAATCTCATGCACAGAACAATCCTATCATAAGAATCATTATCAATTGGGTGTGGAAGAACAGGAGATTGTCCTAATTGCAGCATAGAGACCATGATCAGCAATGTCCGTGTGGTTGCTTTGTTAACTTCAATTTTTGATGGCTGCACCTCTTCTAATCTCAGAACAAGTTTAGTCAATGTGCAAGCAACAACTGCCCCGAGGAAAAAATCGCCAGAGAGGAGAAGAGATCTGAGATTCCCACAAGCCAATGATCCCTGAACGATGGTAGGAGGGGAGAAAGCAGTTTCGGAGGCAGCACTCTGGGTTGCATAAGTACCATCAGCAAGAATAGCTGGTCTCCTTGAAGAGACAGTAATGGAGTTAGCTTGTGGAGTTTTCTTTGAAGCATCAGTAGCTTCTCCTTCCTCAGAAACAGAGTAGAAAGGTAGCTCTCCAAGACACTGCTTGATGGTTGCTAAGCCACTCTCAACTTCAGACAGTGAAAGGCAATATTCTCCAATAATCCAAAGGGCACAGAAGCAAACCCGTGCAGCTCGGATCTGATAGAATGTGTCCAACAGCCTCGTTATAATGGATACCCTAAGTTTAGGATTGGTTTCAATTATTTCCCGAACAAAAACCACGACATCAATAGCTGAAGCAACATTACTGTCTCCCAAGAAATCCATCAGCAGATGCAAAATTATGCTTGCAACTTCTGGGAACTTGATTGCACAGGAATGAATAGCTTGAATAAGCATTTGTCTGTATTCTCCATTCTTCTCAAGCTCTCCACTTTGAGTCTTCACAACTTCCTTCTTCAACATAAGAACAACCTCATTGATATTTTGGGGAGTTATCAACTCAAGAACAATATCGAGTGTCTTCTTCCGGATGTCAAGATTTGGGCTCGAAAGTGCCCTAAGCACATCCATGATTAAATCAACCATAATATCTCTATGAGAAGACTTGAGCTCATTCAGCCGATCTAGCACAATAAGCTTCACATTGTTGTCACTTTGTGAAAGAAGAAGCTGACAGTAAGTGTTGGCAGCAGCCCTAATAGCAGTGGGAGCAGATGACAGAGAAACAAGGGTGCCAGCACACTCATAAATAACTGCAGTTGATGGGGCATTTAATAAAGATATAATAATCTTGATATACTTCCCTTTCTCCCCACGGTTTGTTCTGCAAACCTTACGAATCAGCTCCAACACAACCATCTGAAGCAATTCACCCCATTCAGAAACCCTATCAACATGGGTCAGAAGGTAATTAATGGCTCGATCTTGTGCGCAAGTAAAGAGCATAAGAAATGCATTTCGCTTGGCAGATGGATCCTGCTCTGTAGAAAGGACCTTCTCAATCATATCAGGTGCATCAACCAAGAGCTGCTCACCTTGTGGAAGTTTATATATGGACATGACAGCTAATATAGCATTCCTCCGAATAAATGGATGCCGATGCTCCAGATTTTGCAAAACTGAAGGGATTAGGGGCTCAATAATCTCCGTCTCATTCAAGCGACAGAGAAACCTCAAGGTTACACCACGAATATATTCATTTGGATGTTGAAGATTGTTCCTCAAATTTTGGCATATCAAGATCATTTCAGGTAACACCCTCCCATTTGCATCAGTTTTCTCGATTATCTCCAAGTATAGAAGCAACAGTTTTTGGACAGTGTGATCCTCCGAAGGCAAAACATATCTAACAATGGTGATAAAAAGCTGGATGAGGGTTTCACCATTCAACAAAAGCATAATTGCTTTCTTCATGGCATCAATCTTTGCAGGAACATCATTTCCTTCAAGCGCTTCCTTAATCTCATTGGCAATTGCAGGTGTTCCTTTGTCAAAGTGAATAAGAAGAGTACAGGACTTCTCCATTTCTTGCTAGTTTTCTAGCAAATAGAGGAACATAAAATTTTCAAATAATCAACAAAAAATAAAGTATAATGCTAATGATAATTCTCAAAGATGGGACTAGAATAAAGCCATCTCAGCATAAAATAGGCATCTATGACATGGAAATTTTAACATAGCTTCTCAGCATAAAATATGCATCTATAACATGACAATTTTAACATAGCTTACACAAATCATTCAAAAAGTCTACAATAGGAACCATTTTGTACACAGATTTAATGATAACTTTAAATTTCTTAAGTTTGGAAAAATTGAAATGATAAATCTACTCTATGGACATTGTTAAATTATAATTTTTATACTTCAAAGTCATTATAAACAAAAGAAAATTTGTTCATTAAGCAAAAAATTTCAATTTCAAGAAAGAAGTATTCAATAAAAACAAATTAATCATTCAATGTAACTTAAGCTAAAGATCATATATCATATTTAATTTCAAGTAATTCAAATGTGACACTAAAGCTATAGTTCTCAAGCATTGCACAATTATACACCATTTTGTGCCAATTAGAAGTTAAAAGCTCAAGGAAAACATATTTCATCACTCAAGGAAAGCCAATTGAGTTTGGTCAGTGGTAAGGGTTAGGTGAACCGGTTGTTGAGATTGAGGTGGTGAAAGGGCTTTTTGATGGATGAGAAATCAGTGGAAAATGAGAAATTTGAAAGGGAAATGGTGGGATTGGGGTTAGGGTTTGCAGATTTCGTGAATTTGGGGAGGTGAGTCAGGTTAGGAAGAGGAAGAAGGAGAAGAAAAAAAATGAAGTTTTATTTTGAAATTTGTGATTCTGAGTTACAACCTAGGGGTTGCGGATCAATCCTCTATTCAAGAAGGATAGATCCTGCATTCAAATGGGATCAATTCTCCACTGGATTTCCATTTTATTTTTGCAGATATATGCATAAGGGATCGATCCTTTGTGCTGTTGTAGCAAAAAAGGACCTTAAAAACTTGATTTTTTAATCAAAATTGAAATTGTGATCATGTTAAAAGCATCATTTGTGACTCATAAAAGCAAAAATCTGAGATAAACATTTTTATCCAAATGTTTCATGACTTTTAAAAAAAATGTTATTTTCATGAGTTATGCAAATTTGAAGATGGGTTATGCAATGTTACAACTTCAAACAAATGTATAAGCACCAAAAGACATGACAAGAACTAATATATATAGACATATATATATGTATATATATATATATATATATAAAATTTTCACTAGTTTGAGCCCAATATGTGCATCGAATAGTGCCTAAGCTTAACTTGAGGTATCAAACAAAATATTCAATATTTAAAAAAAAAAAAAAATCAGAACAAGTTCATAAACATATTCAATAACCATCAAACTTAAATAAATAAAAGCACCAAAGTAAGCAAGAAATAGACATTCAAAGCATTCAAGGTGCATTCATCAAACCAAACTCACCTTTAAAGGTACAAAATTTATCTCTACGAATTGGCTTGGTGAAAGTATCTTACAATTGATGTAAGGTATAAATATATTCAAGAATAATATCTCCTTTTTGAACATGATCTCTAATAAAGTGATGCCTTATCTCTATATGTTTAGTCCTTGAATGTTGAATGTGATTTTTTGGTAAGATTTATAGCATTAGTATTATCACATTTTATAGGAATATTATCCATGGTAATTCCAAAATCCTCCATTTGTTGTTTAATCTACAATACTTGGGTACAACAACTACTTGTGGCTACATTCTCTGCCTCAATTTTAGAGTAAGCAACACTATTTTGTTTTTTGAAAAACAGGATATGAGCATATTCCCTAAAAATTGACATAGATTGAAAGTGCTCTTTCTGTCAATTTTATAACTACCAAGATCCACATATGAGTTAGCATGCTCAAAGATCAATACTTTGTAAAATAAAATGCTCCCTTCGATTTTGAAAATTGAAAGTATTAACCCCCTCATTGAAAAGATCAATTCCTTGGTCTCTAACGTTCAAATTTTTTAATTTTGAAGCAAAAATATTGATCCTCTAAAGCAAAGGATCGATCCTCTAGTGCAGATCAATTTTAAATCAACTTGAAATTAAAGGCTACAAAGGCTATTTCTCACTCCCAATCATCCATAACTGCTACAAATGATATTCATTATAAAAGAAAGCATCCAACACCTTCCGAGAGCAAGAGAAGCCATTACAAAGATTTGAAAGTTGATATTCTACATTTCATGAGTGTCTTAAGCTTCAAACCTTATTCTTTGTATCAATTTGTGATTTTTTCATTGTATTATCTCTTTAATATTGCACCTAAACTTAGCAAACATTTACCTATTATAGGTTTCTATTAGTTTGCAAAAGACTAGTTTACAAAAGGGATTTGTCAGTCAAGGGAGTAAGACCTTCAAGTGAATTGTATAGGATTTGGGTAGAAATAATAAGGGGCTTAGAGCTTGCTACCTAATCCTTGAAAGATAGGGATTGGAAAGGTTATACCTAAATCCACAAAAAGTAACTTGTAAGGATTTAAAGATAGTTGATAGGATTTCTCAACAAGAGGAAGCCAAGAGAGAAGATATAGGTGCTTTGAAGAAGAATTGAACCTCTATAAATCATTATGTTTTAATTCTATATTCTTTATTTTCTATTTAATTTCAAGTTAATTGTGCTTAAATTTCATACTAGGAAGCACGGACACAGGCATGCAATGCAGGTATGACACAACATGAGCACACAATGCAGGTATGATACGACACGAACACAGTGACAGGCAATTTCTAAAGAATGACGACATAGGTACAGCAAGACACGATAATAAAAAAATTTGAATATATTTTTTATGTAAAAAATTTTTATGTAAATGTAAATATCAATCTTTAGTATTTTATTTTTTCAATTTAATTTAATTTAAAATAATATTTTATAATATAAAATATTTTTAATTATATGATAAAAGAGTTCATTTTTAAATACATATAAAATATATAATTATTTCAAAATGATAAATTAAAAATATTGTTCAAAGTAATGTATTTAACTTTCTAAAAAGTGCTACAAGTCATATTACTTTTCTCAGTTCATTTTTATCACATTTTCTTTTTGGCGCATAAAAAAAAGGCCAAAATTCATGTTTGATCTATGAAAACATGCCTTCCCACAAAAGGGACCCACACTTCTTTATCCTTCTTCCTTCTTTCTTCTCTTTGTTCTTTTCCTTCTTTCTTTTTCTTCCTTTCTTCTTCTCTCTTCCTTCCTTCTCTATTTTTCTTTCTCCCACCACTATGCAGTTTCTTGCCGCCACCCCATCACCATCACTGCTGACGACTGGTAACCAATGTAAAAAATTCTTCAAAAATTATCAAAAAAATTCATCTCACCCTCCTCTTTCTTCTTATCTAGCTAGATTTCCCAAAAAAAAAAAAAACTAGAAAAGACTACATCTACAAAAAATCCCATAACCTCCACCCATTTTTTGTCGTTTTTTGCTTTTGACCCGTGTCAAAATAAGTCTTGACCATGTCAAGACTGTGTCCAACTTGATTTTTTTTTTTTTACCATGTCTCAGTGTGTGCCATACGTATTACGGCGTGTCGCCAGCATGTCCATGTAAGGGTGGCCGCATGTTTGCGCTTCGTAGATTTCATATATATTTATTGAATTATTAAGTTTACATTTATATTTATTCAATTCTTATTTTGAAAAAGAATTTGGAGTTAATCCAATTCATCTCTTCTTGGACTATTTAATTTACTTGAGCTAGCAACCATCTTCCAAAATAATTCGCTCTCTCAATACCCTCTCACATGCTGATAACTCTATAAAATAGAGTTATTTTCAGTTCTTAAATGAGTGAATTTTGCATTGTTCTTGGTAAAATAATGTACATTTTACTCCTAAATTACTTAATTTGCCTTTGTGTAGGATATCTTGAAGAAAAGATTGAATCTTCATAAATCTTGGTGAATGTTGAAGAATCTTGAACAATCTTGATAAGTTCTTGATACATTTGGAGAAATCTTGATTGCTTCTTGTTCAAGATTGGATATGCAACACCTAAGGTTCAAGAGTGTGCCGAATCTTAAAGTTAAATGGGTGAAATCCATGCAAGAATCAAGAAAATACAAGTTCCGTTACATAAGGGGCAGATTTGAATTTTCAAGATTTAAGTGCAAGTCCATGCTGTTCTATATAGGTGTGCATGCATGGAATCATTGTGGGATCACATGAAAACAAGTTAAATCTCATTGGTCAAGAGAGTTGAATTGAATGCTTATTGGTGTAATGACATGGCTTGGGGATTTAAAATCTGATTTGAAAGAGAAAGTCTAAACTGCCCCTAAGGTATTCCTAATCAAAAGAGGAATTCCTAGGTTGACTTGGAGTTCTATTATTCCTATTGAAAGTAGGATTTTGCATGACAGATTAAAAGGCTGTATGAAGGGTGCGGCATAAGAGATTTAAAAGAGAAATTAAACTTGTCTTTCAAGAGTTCTAGTTGAAGAATAAATATCCAAGAAGTCTGCAAGAAAGAAGCTTAAATTGCACCATGCAATAAGGAGTTCAAGACAATTCAACTTCTGAATTTCTAGAAGGCATGCAAGAAGCTAAAACCGAACCATCCCTTCTCTCCAAAGAAGTTTGAATTATGTTCTCTTCTCCTCTTAAAGAAGTGCAACACATCAAGAAAAGCCAAGGCAGCAACTACTCACTTTCTAGAAGCCAAGATTTGGTCTAGATACTTTCTTTGAAGAGATCCACTTCAATCCAACCAAGATTCACTTTAAGAAGATCTCTCCCATTCGAGAAGTTCACTTAAAACAAACCAAGAAGTCTACCGCATTAGAAGACCAAGGCTGCCGCACCTAGCTTAGGGTTCTTTGTGTATAAATAACTAGTTTTACGCATTAGGAAGAAGATGGTTGTGGTGACCGAACAGCCTATAGTTTATTTAGCTTTCTTTATTGTTTTCTTGCTCTTTTACGTTTTCTTTAGCTTAGGGGTTGGGTTGACAGACCAACAATCTTTTTCATTCATTTTTCTTGCTTAGTTTCCTTTAGTTTTCAAGTTACTTAAGTTTCTTCAAAGCTGTTTTTACATTCTGGCAATTTTAATTTAGGTTTTCAAGCAATATCAATTCTGTTTGGTTTAATTTAAGTTTAAAGCTCTTTCGATTTCAGTTCTTGCTATTTATTCATCTTTAAGTTGTTGTTTTATTTTAAGTTTAATTTTGGTTTATGCAATTTACTTTATTTAAGTTCTGTTTTTGTTTAATTTCAGGTTATTAAGTTTAATTCAGCATTCTTAGTTTAAGTTTTAAGTTTGTTAGATTAGGGTTTAAGTTCTTGCATGTTTTAAGGTTTAATTTGTCTTAATTATAATCTGGTTAGTTGTGATTTAAGTTTTTCTTTGTTTATGTTTCAAGCATATTAGATTAGGATTTAATTGCTGTTTTTAGAGTTTAAGAAGTTGATAAAGCATTCTTTTAAATTTGGTTTTAGTTATTTACTTAGCTTTGCATGTTATTCGCAGTATAAGTTTATTTTTTGTTATTGCTTATTTCAATTCTGTTTTTAGGGTGCTAGAAGTTAAATTTCAGTTATTGCATTAAGTTAGTTTCTGTTTCTAGTTTAATTTGGTTTTAATTATTTAAATTAGTTATTGCATATTAGTTAATTGTTTAAGTCTTGATTTTTGAATATAATTAAACCTGATACAATTTTCAGTACTCGGTTCACTCTTTTACAATCTCTGTGGGAACGAATCTTATTCACACTATTATTACTTGTTACGATCCGTACACTTGCAAATTAGCACTATCACATGGATATTTTAGGATAACAATATATCATTACTATAGCATTTGCAGATTGATCTTTCATAGAACATTGCTCCTCAACTCTTCTAAACAATAACAGCCACCTATTAATGCAGACTTTAGAGAAAATTTCCGCTTGATTCTCACATGAAAGCTCTACCACATATAGATTTTTTAATTGCTTCCTTATACTAAACGGGAAGAGCTAACAACCATCTTCCAAAATAATTAGGAATGACTAGGTCATTCCTAATTTACAAAAAAAAGGGCACCATATCTACAACTCCAGACAAATCTACCTTAATGCCACAATTGAAATATATCTAAATAAAGAATCATGGTGATATAAGCTTAATTATTAATAGAAAATCACGGAGTAAGAAAATGGTAAGATCTGTTTGCTTTCATCATTTTAATTCCAACATTAATGATGAATTCTCAAATTAAAATCAAAACATAACGAATTTAATAAACAAAATGCACTATCACTGAGAAAGCGCGACGAAACAAAGAAAGCATAGAAGGTAAATCAGATTAAAATCCACAGAGCAGATTTCTCTTCGCAGCGAATAGTTATTACTATGAAGGATTCAATCAATTTATCATATCAATAGGGAACACAAAATCCAAAACCTAAATCCAACCATTCCAGCTTCGAAAACAAAGAAAAAAATGCCTCCGTTTGACTACCCGATAAAAGAAACCAAAATAGTAAGCGAAAAACAAATGGCGAGAAAAGTAAAAAGTAAATCTATAGATTTGGAAAATTGGAGAGAGAGAGAGAGAGAGAGAGAGAAAAGGAACCTCGAACGATCAGATCCTTCGAGACGAGAGGCCGGTTTGTGAAAGTGAAGCAGTTTTCTTCTGAGGTTGGAGAAATTAGATCTTCAACGCATCATTTTTTATTGAAAATGAAGAAGCTATTTCAACACAGTGAGCTTATAAGCAGAAGGCAAGGATTATCGTTTTGTGCTAATGAAATTTCAATTTAGGAAATTTATTTTCACCTTCTTACGGGCCTGATCTTCTGCGAGATGATGATGGTATTTTTGCTTTTTTTTCCTTTTGTGAAAAAAATCATATATCCAATAATATTTTGACACGTATGGAAAGATGTAAACAAATATAAAGTAGCATTACTCCAACGGAAGGATTATCGGTTTATGCCCGCGTAATATCTATTTTCAAGGATTTTCGGGTTTTTTTAATATGTTTAAAAAAGAATAATTTTAAAATGAATAATATTATTATAATGGGTTAATTATATTTAAACTTTGAGAAAATATATAAATTAGTATTTAAAAAACTATATTTTATATTTTATATTTTAAATTTTTAAATAATATATCATTTTAATTTTAATTTTAATATTATTAATTTAACTTACTTATATGATATCTAATTAGTATAATTTTATTATATTTTTATATGATATTTAACTAGTATAATCTTATTATGCGCATATTATTTGTCAAATAAAAATATTAAATATTTTATTAATTTTTTCTTGTGAATGTGACATAACAAAAAATGATTTAATTGATCTTAAATAATTTTTACGATTAAGGTAAAAATATATATTTTTAATTTATATTAAAACAGAAAAATATTGATAGTATGTATGATGAACACATAACTTAATAATATTAGTAAGACATCACATTTATAAGATGATATGGTTAGCGAAATTAGGGTATAAATTATAAATTTTATTTCTTTAGACACTAATTTATACATTTTTCTAAAGTTTAGGTACCAAAAATGTAATTAACTCTATTATAATTTTATAAAAGCCTTATATTTAAGGCACTAATAGTGTATAAACTGTATAAACTGTCATTATCATAGGTTATCACATTATTAATGAACAGTTCTATATAGTATCTTGAAAACAATCCCTCAAAAGATTGTTTGTTAGACATTTGACAATATTTAATTGGTGTAATTTTTAGTTTTATACTTAATTAAAGGAAAGTTGTGAGGAGATGAATTCGTGGGGATAAATTCAATCATTTTGCTGTGATGTTTACTTTAGATGTATTGCTACATATTGATTCTTGATCAATAAATCTGATCATAAATAACAATACTCCTATTTAATATGTATTTTATTTTAATTTGATTAAAAAGTGAAAAAGATCCATATTGTTACTCAAAAATAGGAAGAAAAGGTAAAAAAAATAATAAAAAGGTTAGTAAATTTTCTTTTATTATTTACTTTTTTCAATTTTATTTTTTTCATGTTTTCATATAAAAATTTATTTTATAATTTGATCAATTCAAATTATATTTTCAATTTTACAAGAAAATAAAGAAACCTTCAATTTTATTTGTATTGTAATTATTTTACAAGTGTAAAAATGGGCTTCAGTTGGCTTTCTTGTCCATTTTTAGATGATAACTTAAGTTTGGTTTGATGGTAACTCACTTTCAGTGAATTTTCTCTTTATCTCTCTTTTGTAATGTGTTTGTGTTCAATTATGCATACTTAATTTCATATTTAAATGCTATTACTAATTATAAGTTTTTGCATTTTCATTTTCATTTGAGTTTTATTTTATTTTATTTTGCAAGTGAGAGATATGGATTTAATAAAATGTTTGAAATTGACAATAATAGTTGTATATTAGATATTGATTTTATGGGTGCTAATAGATGGTGTTTTATTGGCTATTTAAGGTTTGACCTTGAAATTGGTTATTATTAAACTACCAATGCCCCGAATTTTGAGACTAGTTTTTTCTATCATTTTTATTTTAGATTATAATCTCTATTTTGGTTGCATGATTTGTACTTTATCTCATGATTCTTGGCCAGGCATTACATGAGAGCATTGGGGACTCTTTAGCAACCACAAATTGACCTAGTATTTTTTTTTTAATACTTGAAATTATCAGGATTTGAATATTAGCCACTGAAATTAAAAATTCAGTATTTTACCAACAAATCATAATAATTCGCCTAACTATTATTATATCTTAAACGATGTAACAAAAATAAAAAATAACAAAAGAGGAATGTGAATTCTTTTGCTTTAAGAGAAATGGTGGAAGTTTTAATTCAAATAAACAAATTAACCAAAACCTAAGATATAATTGAAATTTATAGATTAATTACAAAACACCTAATTAACTAAAAATTATATCTTTTAATTGTTTTACGAGTAAAAAACTGCAACGAAATGTTAGGCAGCACAATAGTTTTAAAAAATAAAAATCCTAAAATGTAAATGTAGGAATCAGATGCCCAAATATGGATGGAATTCGACAATCCAACTTGACTGCTAAAGGTAGTTTTGTGTTTGTAGCAATTTTTGCTATGAGCAATTATGTCTATTCAAATTTGAATTCAAATGGACATGAATAATTGTCATGTCCTTTTATTAATTATATATATCATAGCATTTGGCCATTGAGAAAGGGATAATGGGAAATATAATAGATATGCTACTACCATTTTTCTTTGTTGACAATATATGGCAGACCGTCATATTTTTACATGTGAGAAAATGATGCAAAATCATTACAAGAAAGGAAAGAGAGTGTTTAATAGAGGATAAAACCAAACTTTTAAAAGAATCTCTTGCTTTGATGTTTAAGGATTTATGTTATGGATAGTGAATAATTTTCTAATGCATAATCCTGTTCTAGACCAATGAATCAAATCGATAATTTTTCGTAACTTTTGTTATCCTTTTATAAATCAAGTTTTTCGCATTTATTGATATATGATTATGTTCATAATATCCTTCATTGGTATCATGCCATAACAGTTTGATTCCTAGTTGTCTCGTTATTTTCCTTTGAAACACTGAAATTTCAACAAGTTCTTAAGTTTTTATTGGAATATGTTTGGAAATATATGGAAAAATATACAAAAGTGTGTAGTTCTGTTGTGAAAAGATGTTGTGAATATTTTGGAACATTCAAATGCATGTTGCCATTATTGTTTGGATCAATTTGGATCGAGTTTTTTATTTTCAAAACTTAAGCATTCGAATGCTCAACAGGGCATCTGAATGCCTAATTGCACAAAAATTTTAGCATTTCCTTATTTATTTTTAGTGCAATTTCTCTTGATTTTTAGCTTGATTTTGATAATTTTGGTAAAAAAACTCCTAAATGCATAATTGTCTCATGTGTAGGTAAAAATATGGAAAATGAGAATTTTGCAATATTTGGACCATATTGGAGGATTTATGGTGCTAAAAGTTGGAAAAGGCCATAACTAGTGTGATTGTTTTATCTTACCATTTAGGGGAGTTCCTTTTAACCCTTTTTTTATATTTTTTTAAGCATGAACTTCATGGAACCTTATTTCAAGTCTCACTTCTCATAAATTTCATTTGGAATTATCTTTTTTAGCTCATTAGTGCATTATCACCTTTGTAGTATCTTTATACATAGTAAAACGGTATTAATTGCATTAATGTAGTTAGTAGATAACTTTGAATTTGCAATTTTTCAACAATGTTCTAATGATTATAATGTAAAATTTGTTCACTTAATGGCTTGAAATTTGGCAGCTAAATGAAAAGGAAGTTGTTAAAATAGGCACCAAAAATGAATTTGCTAAAGTGCAAGTGTGCCTTGTAGCAAGCTTTATATGACCAAATGCAACGTTGGTGCCACTCTTGGTGATTCAAAGAAGACTAAATGGAGTTGTTGAGTTGAACATTTGAAGGCTTCCTATTGTTCATAATTTTGACTTCTAGGAGTACAAAGGATCATGAGTAGAGAGTTTGAAAGTAAGGAGAGCTAAATGAGCTAAATAAAGAAGTAAAAGCCATGAAGAAAGGAAAGAAGAAGGATCTAGAAGGCTGGCAATACTTAGATATTGTTGCTGAAATTTTAGGGGTTAAACCACCTCCTATTTACCTATAAATAGAGGGGGGTATCCTACCAAAGGAGGAGAATTAGATGGATTTTTAGATTTTAGTTTTAAGTTTTTTACATTTACTTTTCTTTGCACTTTTATTTCTTGCTCTCCAAATAAGGCTGTTCGACAGCCAATTTTCTTTTACTTTCTATGCAAATTTAACTTTCTTCTATCAATTTTCAATGTACTTTCAGATATTCTCAATGAAATTTCTAGATTCTCACATTTTCATTTTCAATTTTCATTAATTTCACATGAATATCAAATTTATTTTTCAATTCACGATTTTGACCTCATTGTAGTGTTTATAATTGGTTCTTAATAAAATCTAGCTTGTTTTAAACCAAATATTTTTTTCTTAGAGTCCCAACTCATATATCTTTAAATTTGAAAAAAATTAGCTTCAAATTCGATCTGTATAGTTCCAAAAATTTAGGCTAAACATTAATGGTAGAGTTAAACTTTGCATAAGTGAAAGTAGCAAGGATCTTCTCTGTATCTTGGTGATTGGTTTGCAACTCCTACACTTTGAACACTATAATTCATGTATTTACTTATTAATTTTCATTTTGTTGCATTTAAATTCATGTTTTTACATGTTGTTTGGATGATTTTCTCGTTAATTGCTCTGTTTTTATTATTTTTGCATTGGATTTTTTTATCTACTTTATTTAGCTTGATTTTTTTTATTGTTTCTTGCTATTTCTTTGTTGATTTTGGTAGTAAACTTGTAGACTTAGATTACTTTAGCTAAGTTTAAGTTCATTTAATTTGTAAAAATTTAGATCTAATTTTCTTTTTGCAAATTTCTATTTTTCCATATTTGAATTCTTGTTTATAGTTTTAAGTGTTTTGGCTAGTTCTTGCATTTTTGCTTCTTAAATTGTTCTTCAATCTTGTTTTAATCTTAGTTTAGTTACTATTTTTACAATTTCTAGTTTAAGTTCATCCAATTTGTTGAAGTTTAGATCTAATTTTCTTATTGAGTTTCAAACTTTTCAAATTTATGATTCGTTTTTGGTTTTTATTAGCTTATTTGAACTTTACGTTTTTAGTTTCCTTACTTTTCATTTCAATTCTATTTTCACTTAGTCAGGCTACTATAATTTACATTTTACATCATGTTTGGTTTATTCCTTTAGAATTTTCTTAGGCTAGGTTGAATCTAA